AAGCAGCTGGGGTGAGGAGTGGCTTGTGGGGGATGCAGAAGTTGAACACCTGCCCACCATCTGACACCCTTTTAATACCCTGAGCCCCTACTGGACCCAAGCCTCATTCCAGAACCTGTGCCCTGCATTCCCTCCAATGCTCCTGCCACAAACCCCTTTCTCTAAGTCTACGTCTAGACTGCACTCTAAAATAAAAAACATATGCAATTTGCGCTATGCAAATTGCGTATTTTTTTAATTTAATTTAAAAAGAGGCTAGTTTGAAATTTGGCGTGTCTACATGGCTCCAGATTTCGAAATAAAGTGCTCTTTCAAGTCATCCCTTATTCTTCACAGAAAAAGGTTTACAGGAATGGCAAAAGAGCGCATCCGTTATTTTGAAAAATTTTTTGAAAGAGGGGATGCTTTCCTTGGATGTGGGTCTAGATGTACCCTTAGTTAAGTAAAATGCAGGACAATGTAGCACGTTAAAGACTAACAAGATGGTTTATTAGATGATGAGCTTTCGTGGGCCAGACCCACTTCCTCAGATCAAAAAAAAGTTAAGTAGCATTTTTAATTTACCAGCACCCCCTATTTTCCCAACATGTGAGATGATAGATGCATTTACTATATATTCCTACTGCTACATTCCTACTGATACTTTTATATTTTAAGCATGGAATTTTTAACAGTAGAGTTTTAGTATTTTTTGGTGTGGACATAGCAAAATAAGATGCATGGAAATAAATAATGTTTAACTATGCAGAAAGAAAACCACAACATAGGTAGTGTAATTTGTTTAGGATGACCCATAGTATCCTGTTACTTGTTTGTGGCTGCCATTTCTAATCACTTCACCCCATTATATAAATATTTCTTCTACCCTTTACCAAACTGAATGGTTATCACTTTGAAGTGAAAACAAACTTATTGTAGAAATGTAAATCACTTTTGGAACTGAACAAATTGTCAAGCAGCTGTTTAGCCCTTCCATACCCTGCTTAGAATATTTGATCAGTCTACATTGCTTGTGATTTGTCAGTCATTTTTGTTTGTCTGCTACTTTTACCCTAGTCATATTTTCTTTCTTTCCTTCCTCCCTTCCTCCCCAAGTGCACGTTCATAAAGTGTACAGACATTAAATTCATATGTCCTTCTCTAGCTGTCTTTCCCAAAAGAGACACAAACTTCTGATTCCAACTTTCTCATGCCCTCATGGCATCACTTTCCCATAAAAGGGATGTAACCCAAAGATAGAACAGAGGAGACAGATAATATTCCATTACATTAACCACACAGCCGTCATTGCTGCAAATACCAGAGATGAAAAATCTTTTGCTCTACATGAGTTATCTTAATTCTCTGTCTAAATCTACTCTACTCCTCAGTTGCCTCTGCCTACATTTTAAAAAAATAATTCTAGCTGTTACCTGAAGGAAACTCTCTAAGAGTAAGTATTAGTTCCTTTGTATTGGAGAAAAACACCATCAGAAGACACAACACCTGTCTCTCAGTCTGATTTCCTCCTTACTTTTAACAAACTGAGTACACTCCTATATTTTGTATGCTCCATCTATGCATAAGCAAAGGTGCCAGATCCTCAAAGCTATCCTTAGGATAGGAACTCCATACAAGTTAATGAGATGTCCGAGTGCCTGTGTCAACATAGCTTTACTAGTAGGTAACAAAAAGCAAGGTAAATCTTCAAGTTTCTCCTTATAGGATGCAAACTCTTACAGCCTTTTATATTATCTACTATGTACATGGAATTTGACCCATTTGTAAAATGAAAAGGCCGAGTGATGTTTTTTTACCTGCTCTAACCATTTTCTTTCCTTCATTAATGAATATTCTTAGCTAGGCATCTGTTTTATCTTGATGTCTGTCTTGTGGTATGCTGGCCTTTAGACTTGCACCCCGTGTCACCTGCTATAGAAGCAGTGGCTGTAAGTGAGTCACAGCAATGCTCTGTATAAATGCCTGACTGCCATTGCTCTGAACCCCACGTATACCTCCCACGGCTAATTGTTTCCTTGCAGTCTTCTTGGAGATTCAAAGGGGAGTAAATTATTTAACACAGGATGGCAGCAATTCAGCTCCTTCTCCAGGTAATGCCAGAGTCACTCCTACCTGCCATGTGGATTTCTAAGCTCTTTCTGTTTGCCTGGTCTGTCAATTTCTCTGGTGCTGGATTGCTGTGGTGCTCTGCCCAGCTCCGACACCCGGGGAGGGGGGGCAGAAGGAGGAGGCAGAGGGGTGATTCTCTTTATTTTCCAACTGCCATGGAACCTTCTGGTTGCAACATTCCATCCCTCGTCTATTTGAAAGGGAGTCTCCAAAGCATGAGGCTTGCTGTGGTGAGTGGAGTAGAGAGAAGGAATCTAGTTACAGGCATATATTTTTGTTGCATTAAGAGCAGTGTCATCATCATAACAAATACCCAATTTTATTAATATTCTGCAGGAATTTCTTGGATACCAAAAGGTCTTTCAAAGTCAAACAGGATGCTAATAATTTTGAACTGTCAGATCCTGAGTAACCATTAATGATGCATCCTGGTAATAATCTATTTACTTGGATGGTTCAGACCTTGGATATAAAGAAATACATATTTTATCATAGTTTATCATAGTATAACAGCCTTAACTATGACACATGGAATGCTTTTTTAATGTATTTATATGGACTTTTCTATGTGACTGATCATAGTGCTATCTAAACATAACATTCAACGAAGATTGTGTGTTATTACTGATAAAAACAGTATTGTATCAGAATCATGCTTGTTTTGTGATTTAAAATCTGCATTTTATGAAGAAAGCAAAATGTTGAATGGGCAGCGTAAAACTTACAATAACTATTTCACTTCCTTGCTTTTATGTGCTTGAGTGTTTTGTAAATGATAGAGACTCTCTTCTGACTGGGTTTTTGAACAAGATGATTTTGGCATTTCTTAGTGTCCTGACTTTTGCCCATCTCAGTCTGTTCTTTTTCCTTTTTGTTTGTGTGGAAATGTACATATAAAGGTTTTTTTAAAAAATAAAAAGGATAGGTTGGGCCGTGTGTGGGTGCAGAGATTTGCATACACAGAGCAACTTGCAGGATAGGTCCTATCTAACCTCAACTGAAAAGTGTGGGTACAGGTGGGACCTCCCTGGTTTGACACCCTTGAGACCTAAGTGGTCATGAACCACAGAATTTTCCAGACCAGGGGAGGTTAAGGTTCCCCTCCTAGATCTGCTCTCTATCACAGGCCTCACTACCCCCAGTCCTGTTGGGGCTGCACTCCTTCCCAGTGCTAGGGCTGTGTTCCTCACCTCCAAGAGTCCCAGTTCAGGCTGCTCTCCCGGCCACCAGCCAGGCCAAGGCTCTATTTCCCGTTGTGCTGGCCCAGGCTGGACCCTGAACTTGTTCAGCTGTGGCTCTCTGGTCCAGTAATATCTGTAGTCCTGCCAGACCACAAATGTTGCCGAAACAGAGTCTCTCGAATTTTATAAATTAAATTAATGGAGATGGCTTATCTTCTAGAACTGGAAGGGATCTCAAAAGGTCATACTGTCCAGTCCCCTGCCTTCACAGCAAGACCAAGTACCATCCCTGACAGATTTTTTGCCCCAAATGGCCTCCTCAAGGATTGAACGCACAACCCTGGGTTTAGTAGGCCAATGCTCAAACCACTGAGCTATCCCTCCTCCCTAACTTTAGAGTTTTAACCTGTATTTCCAAACACATTATCTGGCTTATTTGTAATCTTAAAACAAAATACAGAACGGAACAATCATTATCCTTATTTTACTATTTTACTAACTAATTAGAGATTTGTAAAAGAAATTGAGTGAATCACATTGTCTTAGCATTTCTGATATCAAGGTTCTGCTTCCGTCTTTGCCCCAAATCTCCTATTTAACTGATAAGTCACTTAAATTCCATTTCTAAGTTAGTTATGCTAGTTGGAGACCTTTTGGAAAGTGCAGGAAGTGACCATTTCTATCTCTTTTGACTCTCTTGACTGTTTTAGTCGTCATATTTTTTTTTCATTTTTATTGTCAGACTTCTTGTATTCAGAAATGAAACATTTTACTGTTTTTGTCCCAGGCAGCTGTCTTTTATATGTGCTAATTTTAGTATCTGTTTCAGATTTTGGGATACAGCTGGGCAAATAAAAGAATGTAGATGTTCAATAAATGGCAACATTTTTTAAATAAAAAAATCCTTTTAAAATTATTTCAAAAAGCACTTCAACATTGCAGTTGTCTAGGCACTATTCACAAAAAGATATTAAATACAATTTATTTAAAAATAGCTGGTGTGCTTTTAAGAAATACCAACAAGCTGTTTGAAGTGAGATATAAATGTAAGGCAAGTACAGACCTGAAAATCAGTGTGTCTTTTTTAAAATTACTTGCAGTTCTAACTACTGCCACACATATTGCTGGATTTCAGTTAAATGGAATCACTTGCGGGGGAGGATGTTGGTATTGGGCACCACAATTTTGAAAAGACATTGATACATTAAAAGGAAAAAAGCACAATTCAGGCCTTTATATACAAACTGCAATCAAACCTTCTTTAGGACAATTTTTCAGTACTTTCTGGCTGCACAAAAACAAAACTATGATTGAAACAGATTTGTATATTTCCCTTTAACTGAATCAAATGCTGGGTCTACATTTATCGCTGGAAGAACACAGATTTCCATTAGTTCTTACCTCAGTTATCCTGGGGCCAAATTCATCCCTATAAAGTTATTCTTGGGAAGAATTTGGACTGTGCAAACCCAAGTCTGTTAACTCAAGCTGAGAGGCTTGCTGCTGCAGGCAGTGTAGGCATACCCTCAGTATGGCTTTCAATAAACTACTAAAATGTTTGGTGTAAACATTCACTTTACAAAAAAACTGAATAGCTGTGTGAACTAGCCATAGATTTTGCTTCTGTTGAACACACAATGAGCACACTTTCAAAACTGTTCTGTTTAACATCCAGTTAATGATAATTTCTTTGGTGTTTAAGCATCGTGGAACAGACGTACACCACAGCAGAATTCGTGAGTCAGGCTATTGATATCAATGAACCGATTGGAAATCTTAAGAAGTTGTTGGAACCAAGACTTCAGTGTTCCTTGGATGCACATGAAATCTGCCTGCAAGATATCCAGGTAAAATAAGGAGAAAACTACTTCTGAGGGTTCAAACTATGCTGTGAAAATAGTTCTGTTCAGTCTCTTCCGTCTAGTGTGATGTTTGTATAGGGGCTCACTCCTCAGTTTGATAATAAGAGTCAGTCTTACAACTGTCAGTCTTACCAACTTCAAACTATTTTATGTGTATCAATTAATTATGTATTTATTGCAAATAAAAACTGGAAAATGTCTATAGTTCATTTCAGAAAATCATCTTGATTAGCAGCATGTCTTATCAATTTTGGGGAAAAATAAGTAGCATGATTTTGAACACATGATACACTAAGAAATACATTCCTTAAGTCAGGTGATTTGACTATTCTCTGGTATCTGTGGGAGGTTTTACTTTTTACAGATTTTTCTGAATTTAGAAGCCAGACAAGTTTTACATAGCATTGTTTTGTGTTGTTTAGAGGGCATATTATTTTTTTTTAAAGTGTATTTTTTTAAATAGGTGGTTACCTCAAAGGTTTAAAGGATGATGCCATTAAATAAAGACTTTCTAAACCTTTCTAATTTCCTTCGAGTCTTGTTAACACTAAAAGACTTTTCTCTAGACTTGTAGCAAAGGTCACTGGCATACATTGAAATCACTTTACTTCAGCCCTAGTGGGGTAGTAACAGAGAGATTTAACAGACTATGTAAGATATATTTGCTGGCCCTTATATGTGGTTACATATGTGGTTACATGTGTGCTATATATTCTGGCACTTCCACTGAATTTTTGTCTGAGTATTTATTACAATTTGTATATATACAGTAAAACTCCATTTGTCCAGCATCCAGTGCTCCAGCACTCCTGATGGTCCGGCACCATCGGGAACCCGGAAGTGCTCCGGGCAGCCGGACAATTGGAGCTGCTCTGCACCCTGCTTCCCCGATTCAGCCGTTGCTGAAACTGACCAGCAGCTGAATCGGGGAAGCCGAGGGCAGAGCAGCTGGGGTGCTGTTGGGTTGGTCCCGTAGCGCTGCCCCTCAGGGCTGCGGGACCAACCCGGGAGCACCTCAGCTATTCCCGATTCAGCCGCCGCTGAAACTGACCAGCCGCTGGCTCCCAG